CTTGGTCTCCTGAAAACGTGCTCTGGCAGATCCAGGCAAGCACTGAAAGCTGGAGACACGGGGCCCTTTCCTGTGTGGCCTCCCATATTTCTCCCCCAACAGCCCTCTCTTTCAATCAGGAGTCTATTTTGTTAAGAATCACAATTAAAATTTGGAAGGCTCAATATCAAAAGTAATCCCAGTAGCAGGTCCTTCTAGGAACTGCGATGCGACATGGCACACAAGAAAGGCAAGGAAGCTTTTCTAACAGCCCCTCATCAGAACCGCGACACATGAATAAACTCTACTTGCATCCTCCAAAAACCCCCTAACTAGCGGGCTCTGCTCCCGGCATCCAGAACAGCTCCCACAGCTCTCCTGCAAGCCCAGCTCCAGTTCACAGCCCCTTCCTCCAAGCAGTCCCATCCAGTGCAGGGTTTGTGAGACGCTAAAGAAAGCATGAAGTGATGGAGAACCGTCGTTGCCTTTGGCAAACACCAGCGCTCCTGACCCCCGGGAGGTCAATCCCTGCAAGGAGGAATATCACCCACGTGAAGTGACCCACGATCCAGAGCTGTCCTACTGTCTGCGTTGAGGCAACACCGAAATACCTGCTGCAGCAACTCCACGGAACAAAACAAGACAGCTCACGTATAGACGCAGCGGATATTACTACAGCCTTACTCAAAACAACTCTCTGTCATCATTACACTTCAGCTGAAGTTGCCAGACTACTTTCCTCCCTGTTGATGTGCTCCACATATTTCGCAGAATCACAGAATCATCTCAGCTGGAAAAGACCTTGAAGATCATCCAGTCCGACCATTCACCTAACACTGACAGTTCCCAACTACACCAGTTCTCTCAGCGCTATGCTGACTCTACTCTTAAACCCCTCCAGGGATGGGGACTCCACCACCTCCCTGGGCAGCCCATTCCAACACCCAACAACCCCTTCTGTAAAGAAATGCTTCCCAATATCTAGTCTGAACCTTCCCTGGCACAATTTGAGGCCATTACCTCTTTTCTTATTGCTTACTACTTGGTTAAAGAGACTCATCCCCCCTCTCTGCCCCCTCCTGGCAGGGAGTTGCCGAGGGCCAGGAGGTCTCCCCTCAGCCTCCTCTTCTCCAGACTGAACCCCCCCAGTTCCCCCAGCCGCTCCCCAGCACACCTGTGCTCCAGACCCTGCCCCAGCTCTGTTGCCCTTCTTTGCCCTTCTATTTGCTGAAGTGCCCAAAGAATAAGATGAGCCAATAAATCCAAATTCAGTGTCTAGTAGTGACGTACCACCAGCACACCAAAGTCTCCTCAGGAACAGAGCCCTCAGCGCCGGACCACGGCAGGACTCTCTGATCCTCTGGGTGGAACAAGCTCTGGAACTGATCTGCAGAGATGTCCCAAAAAGGGGCATGTTTCAGAAGAGAAAAGACTGATAAAAAGAGCCAGGTTTGGCCAGTTACAAGCTGACAGCCATTTGGACTCAAAGCTGAGGATTTTTTGAAGAGTTTTTTTCTATTATCTTAAGACCAGGACAAACGTCATCTGTTCATTAACCGTATCACGTCCTTTCCATGCGTCTTGCCTCTTTCTCTGATAAAACAAAGCCCTGTAAAGACTTGTTGCTGTGATGGTAAAGGCTGAAAGAGTGCACAGAGGTAAAAAAAGAAAGGGAAAGCAGCCACAGAGTTTCATGGAAACCTTCTCATAACTTCTGCAATACTATTTCCTCGCCTCTCTTCAGGGACACATATCTGGATGCATACCAGCACATGGTCACTTGGTGTGTGGTCTGGTCAGCCAAAACTCCATCGCCTGCTTTCTTTTCAGCCCACATCCTCTCTGTAATTAAGAGGAGCTGCATTTCCCCTCACTGGATTTCAAAAACCCTTGAAGAAGCTAAAGGGGGGGTTGAAAGGAGGAGGAAGAGGTTTTGATTGTTTTCCTAAAGGTACTTTCTCCTACTGACACCTCTATTTTAGGTACTTTTTCAAAGATATCTGTATTGTTTCCTTTGAAAAGCTGAAAACCTTTCATTTCTCAGAAGAAAAATACACAGACCTGTCCAGTTCAGAGGGAAAAAAAGAAAAAAAAACCAAACCAAAAAGCTCTGTCAGGACACAATTCTAGGGGATAATAATAACACATTGTTCCATCTCTGTGTGTGTAATGGAACAGGGAAAGGAGAAGAACACAGGGGGAAGACAGCTGCCCAAGTTTTCAGCTCTCACAGCACATAAAGCTACTCATTCTGTACTCTATTAGGTGTTGCAGCTCTAATTCCCAAGAACATCTATGCACATGTTTTGGGGCCATCACCAGTGGGAAAAGAGCATATTGCTCAGATGAAGTATAACCAGTGACCACGTCCAAGCAAATTTTCCCTACCCGAGACTCAAGTTATGGACTAGAGCTGGGATAAGCCAGGAAGGCTCAAGGACTTGCAGGTAGAAGTAGTCAGTGAAAGAATTCCTTCCTTGTGTTCCATTCGTGATGCCTCAGAGCTCCAACGCATTGCCTCTAAGCTTGTGTGTCATGTTTAATGTGCTTTCCTGGAAACATGGTTATGTGTCACAGCTTTGGTTTAGTCAGAACTGTGAGAGTTGGTCAGACTTTCCACTGAGATACAATCTGTCAGTGGGTTGTGGTGGTAGTGTTCAATACTAGGATATTAAGGCATGCTGCATTGCTCTGCTCTTGCATCTCATCACTGCAGGGCACCTTTCATGCATTGAGAGTATTAATTGGCTCGATTTTATGGTCAAAAAAATACTGTTAGCAAACATCGACTGCGACACAAAGGTCTCCCTGCAGGAGGAAGTGGCCCAAACCCCCTCTGATAATCTCACGCTCCCTTCCCCCAGCCATGGAGAAAGCAGAAAGGGGTAAAGAAATAACAGCAATAAATAAAACTGCTCTGGGACTCCACAGGAGCAGCTCTTCCACACGAGGCCAAGTTTTTTTATCCTCTGAGTCTCCACACGTGCCGCAGCTGGGAGAGGAGAGGCAGTGGACCAGCGCAGGTGGAAGACAACAAACCACGACAGCAGAAACAGCATTAAAAGTTAAATGTTAAATCCATTTAACAGCAGAAACGTGGCCTTTGGCTGAGGGACAGAGCGAAGGGAAGAAAACTGTGGAAACCAGCGGACAAGGCATGAGGGCAGTAAGGCAGGTGTGGGAACTGGCTCTCCTGGCAAAGCCACTTGCCCTGCTATTGCGGGGTAATTACGCTGCTCCCTGGGTATCTTTCCACATCAGGACACTGTTGCACAGCCATAACCTGCATCTGCTTGCACACTGCCTGGCTGAGCAGGTGCTGTCAGTACTTCACTATGATCAGACAACACCCTGACTCACAGAAATCACATGAAGAGAGACACTAAACTCGCATGAAATACCTCCCCTCCCC